GCAGTGTGGACCACAGAGGAGATTGCATCCTCTGTTGATCGGTTCTCACGGTATGCATACTGATGAGGGTCCTCGTTGATGTTGATGGTTGTTTTGATGTGAGTCATGACCAGTTTTTCGAAGCATTTAGCGACTATCGGGGTGAGGGCCACTGGCCGATAGTCATTCAGACCAGTCACTGTAGAGCTTTTTGGGACTGGGATGATGGTGGCAGTCTTCAGGCAGGTGGGAACTGTCTCCTGGGTAAGTGAGGTGTTAAAGATGTCTGCCAGCACCTCACAGAGCTGATCAGCACATTCCTTCAACACTTTTCTGGGGATGTTGTCTGGGCCAGTTGCTTTGTGCGGATTAATCCTCCTGAAGGTACTCCTTACTTCTGCTGAGGTCACGCCGAGATGCTCTTCATCCAGTGGCGAGGTGAGTCTGGTGCTGGGTGGTCTGTTCGGGTCTTCAAAGCGTGCATAGAACTTGTTGAGGGCATCAGGCAGAGATGGGTCTTTGGGACATTGTTCGCTCCTTCCTTTATAATCTGTTATGCACTTAATGCCCCTCCACATGCTCCGAGGGTCTTGTGAGATGAATTGACCCTCGATCCTCTTTGCATATGTGGCCTTGGCCCTCTTAATACCAGCAACCAGCTCTTTTCTTGTCCTACTCAGCTCCTCTGAGTTTCCAGACCTGAAGGCAGTGTTCCTGGCTTCCAGCAGGGTACGCACCTCTGCATTCAGCCAAGGTTTTCTGTTTGGGTAGCTTTTAACATTTCTGATAGTGGAGACTGTGTCAGTACATGTACTAATGTAACCCAGTACTGAGGATGTGTATTGGTCAAGATCAAGCGAACCTCCATTTTCAGCAGCTTCTCTGAAAACCTGCCAGTCTGTTCGATCAAAACAATCTCTCAGTATGGGTCCACTGTCCTGGCTCCAACATTTAACTTTCTTTTGTACCGGTCTGGAGCGTCTCAGCGGGGGCATGTAAGCAGGAGCCAGGAAGATTGAGATGTGGTCTGACAGTCCTAGGTGGGGGCGGGGTTCGGCTTTGTATGCATCTTTTACGTTCGTGTAAACACGGTCCAGCGTGCGGTCTCCACGTGTTGGAATCGTCACATGCTGATTAAAGCTTGGGAGACAGTCCTTTAGATTCACGTGGTTAAAGTCTCCGGCTACCACGTAAAGAGCCTCGGGGTGTTTGTTCTGCAGCGAGCTGATGATATCATGTAGCTCCTGCAGTGATTCATTAGCATTAGCGTCCGGAGGAATGTAAACAACTGTGATAAAAGTCACTGTGAACTCGCGGGGTAGATAATGTGGCCGACATTTCACTGTTATTTGCTCCAAAGCCTTCGAGCATGAGCTATTTACAACAGTACAGTTCGTGGACCAACTTTTACAGGTGATACAGAACAGAAATATACAGTAATAGTTCATTTTCATTATAGTGAAAATGAGGAGGAAGAGTTTAAGTATCTGGGCGTCTTGTTCATGAGCGATGATAGGATGGAGCGGGAGATGAATTAACAAACTGGGGCCTCATCCTCATTAATGAGGGTGTTGGTTCGGTCAGTCGTGGTGAAGAAAGAGTTGAGCCGAAAGGCAAAGCTCTTGATTTACTGGTCTGCATGTTCCAACCCTCACTTATGGTCATGAGGTTTGGATCGTAACTGAAAGAACGAGATCCCGATAAAAGTGTCTGAAATAAGCTTCCTTCACAGGTTGGCCAGGCTCAACCTTAGAGATGGGTGAGAAGCTCCATCATCCAAGGGGAGCTTGGAGTAGAGCTGCTGCTCCTTCGCATTGAAAGGAGTCAGTTGAGGTGGTTCAGACACCCCAGGGAAGACCCAGAAGTCACTGGAGGGACTGTGTATTTTCTCTGGCCTAGGAACGCCTCAGGGTCCCTCAGGACAAGCTGGAAAGTGGGGAGAGGGAGAGAGATGTCTGGGTTTCTCTGTTGAACCTGCTGCCTCTAACCAGACTACGGATAAGCAGTAGAAGATGTAGAGGGAGGAGTAAAATAAATGGCGCTAGACCACATGTTTTTCTATAATTTTGTATTTAAGTATTTTTAAATAAAGTATATTTTTTCTTAAAAGTGGTGAATTTTAAAACCACTCTTGTTGTAGCTCTTTAATTTACTGCTAGTGTTCCAGCATCTGCATTCTGATCCAGCTGCTTTCTCTGCCTCAGATGATCCCGCCACCTCCACCCTTGAGTCCTGACATGGTGGACGACGAAGCCTTGGGTAGTGTGCTCATATCCTGGTACATGAGTGGATATCACACAGGATACTACCTGGTATGTTCACTGAGGCTCACTGGTTTATTATGGTTCCTAACAAAGATGTAGTAAAGTGCTGAATGTTGTCGTTAACC